GAAACACCCCCACCCCTGATCATTGCATATGCCCCCATCTCCATATTTCGTGCAATAGAGGGAATATCTAATATGAGGAGGGGGGAAATGTTCAATATGAGGGAACCGGTGGTTAGTAGGCAATGAAGGAATGGGGCTGTCAGTGGGGGATTATATGGGACTACCTTTTTTCAAACACTTCACCACATCCCTTGAACCCTTCCCTACAATGTATCTGCGCTTAGAAGTAAAGATGGAGAGAATGAGAGAGAGAGAGAGAGACAGTTTTGGGACTGTTTCTGGAAAATCTGTCAAGACCCACCTGATACCCCTAATTTACAGGAACCTCCATTACACTGCTATCTGCAAGGCCAACCAACAATTTGCAACCCCAAAAACGGTGAGGGCTTACCGCCAAACCTTCCCCAAGATAAGGGCGGGCCGTGGGGGCGCACCAGCCATGCGATGGTAGAATCCGCGGCCGCTTTCCACCTGGCGGTGCCCATGATACAAACTTCAAAGCACCATGAACCTCTCAATTCCCACCTTGCTGGCTGCCAGTTCTGATGCATTGGATCCTAGATCGTATGATGTTTTGAGCATCACAGGCCTACCGTTTGTGGAAGGATAGACCACCGTGAGCTTGCTCTGAACACTTCATTCCAATGTTCCATGGCGTGCCATGGGCGCCCTTGCACCTCTACTGTCGAGTCGTCTGACCTCCACTGCCTGCCTGATCCTAGTAGGGCTTGCATCCGCCAATTTGCCAGGCACATCTGGCCTTCATGGCTTTCACGGTCTTCATGGACGAGCCTGCCAAGCAAGGCTGCATTTCTGCAAGGCTTTCCTGATAGGATTGTGCTGAGATAAACAGCTGCGACGTAAGACCTAAGCAGTCGCAATAGTCGGCGAAGTTTTGTGCTTCAGAAAGGACTTCGGATACTTGTGTCGTGCCTGCGTCATGTGGCTGACTGCCACCTTCGTGAAGGAAGTATCTCCCGTATAAGTAAGGTACTACAGTAGCAAGCAGCATGCCCCCACTGCCTTCATCGGGAGCCATGGTACGATAGAAGTGAGAGGTGGATCAGAGGCACGGATGCGAGAGAGCCGAAATGCGCAGCAGCTCACAGGCTTCAAGCATCTGTGGTGCTGGCAGTGTGGTGTGCAAGCAAGTCTGTGCAACCAGGATGGCTCTGCGAAGCTCCCCGCAGACCCTGAAGCGCAGACGCTGTCATCTCCAACAGGACCTTGTCTAGTGTCTAGGTTTCGCTGATACATGCGAAAGAGAAACAGTCCGTGCAACACATTCCCAAAGCAGGCAAACCCACGGAACCCTGGCAATCTGCAATGGGCGCCTTTTTCCCGAAATTCAAGGCTGAGGCTCATTTGGCATCAAGGCGACCCGCGTTGAAGATTTTGCCTTCAGTGCCTGCCGCTGGGGCTCAATGAGCGGCAGTGCTTCTTGAGCGAGCTCAGATCAAACAGTCTCTCCCGTCAAAAGTACATCCCAAATGCACAACGCTGCAGCATGACCGTCTTGGCTTGCGGCCTGGAATAAGGGTGATGGTCGTGGGAGCAGTGGCTCCAGCGCCGGGCCATTTTGGAACTCTCCCGCTGAATGCTGCAATGCGCTTGCGGGAGCGCATTTCAGGAATCCATGAGATGCTGAAGTCACAACGTAATTGGAAGCTTCGATTCTGTCAGCCCAGCATCACATGGCACAAGTCTGCGAGTAGTCGACTCACCAACACTTCTGGAGCTGCTGCATCCGGACAAGCAAACGGGAAGGAAATGGCGGCGCCGGAAGCGAAGAGGACATGCTGCAGGAGGGCACAAATCGGATCTTCTCAAACTTAATTTGCATCCACGGACCGTCGTCCGGTCCAAGGTTGGCATTGCTGCGAGGCAGTAGTTGAGGTGCGGCAGCCCAGGATCGCACAAGCCGGGCAGGTTGCGCGGGCTGCCTGCACCCTCATAGAGCGGGACCAGGTAGTGAGTTCAGGACAAACGCACCGGACGGAAATGGCCGCGCCTTGCAACCATGCGAGAGCAGCGCACAGTGACTGGCAAAAATGGCCGCGCTTTGCAACCAAGCGAAAACGAAGCGGTTGATGAACTACAGAGGTGCAAATAACGGATCTCCTCAAACAGCAGTTGGACTGACTGTCGCACTGTCGTTCCGCTGCAACAGCCCAGCATTGCGCAAACTACGAATAGGGATTGTGTAGCTGGTGCTGATCATCTTCTCAGGGCCCGACTCCACAAAATCTTTGAGGAGCTGCTGTCGCCTGCTCCTTCGTCATCATGCAAATTACAACTCCGTCTGAGGCAGGTCACTGAAAACATGCGATGCGCCACACATCACAACACGAGTTGGCATGGCAGATGGGAGAGCTGTAAAATCGGCCAAGACACAGTCGAGGCTCCTGGGGAACACATCCGCTCTACGACACAAACGAACCCACTTGTCACCACTCACGGTTAACATGTTGAAGCTGCCTCTGCATCCTCTGCCCAACGGGCAGCTTCATGGGCTCTGGACCTGGTGAGAAGCAAAGATGCGTGGAGGCCCGGGATGGCCGGGCTTCTTCATGTTTGCTGTCGTCGTATGAAGCCCTGAAGCAGATCCCGTAAAGATTCAGCTCTCGAGCTGCTTTTGCAAGGCTGACAGCTGGGCCTCGAAATGGTAAACTAGATGCAGTGAGATCACCAGAAAGTGACATAGTAGAAAAAAACAGCACCACATCCGTCAAGCTGAGGAGCTGCTGTCGCGACTCATCGCCCTGTAGCAGTGAGGGCAGTGGGAATTTAACACAGGCCGAAATGTAGAGAAAAACTCAGAAGTCGCTGTCTGCTTCTGATGGTGACTGGCTTTGCCGGCCAGGCACGCTCGAGCCATCTGAGCCTGAGCCCGCGCAGGTGCTGGCAACATCGTCGTCACGGGACTCCGGCCTCAGGAACGTAGGGCGCTATGAGGGATTGAGGGTATGAGCCCGGACTGGATCAGGTACAGGTTTTCTCACGGTGACGTGCCTGGGCTCGGATCCGTTTTTTCTTCCTAGCTGGGAGCACTTGCGAGTTTTGCTTTACCTGCTGTTCACCTCTGTAGTCCACCGAGCTCCACAGTCTACCTTGCGGTACAGGCTTCAGCGCACCATATGTTTTTGAGGCCCTTGCACAGAGTTCGGCAGCTTGCCCGAATGCTTCTGGGCAGTGTAGCCTGGATACGCCAGCGCATCGCCGGCCCAGTATGCCTGCTGCTGGCCAAGAGCGCCCTGGCTCATCGCAAGCATGGCAGATGCGAGCCCTTGAGACAGGCCCGGGCTACGAATTTCTCGCTGCAAACTGTGTCATCAAGTGCCTGCAGACTGCAAAAACACTACAACAGGCCTCCACAACTGTCCCAACTTATGAGCAGCCAAATCAAATGCTTTAGGGCTTCCTGCACGCAGATCCCCAATTCCAGTGAACAGCCATCCAATTCCGCAAACTTGTTTGAGACTTCTAGCTGCGGCATTCAGAAGCACTTTTTCGTAGAACCTTGGGACGGTGGCTTTCCAAAATTAGGGTTTGGGGTTTTGGGTGTAGGGTTTAGGGTTGACAAGGTCCATTTTTACGCCCCAAATACGCGGTGTCGTGCTACATTGGGAAAGACCCATGTAGCTTCGGAAGGTCACGAACAACCGGGTAGATCCTGGATCAAAGTTGGGGCATATACTGAAACTGCGTTTGTATCAAGTTCGAGTATGGGGTCCGAATATTCCCAAGATGTCTACTCGAAAATGGGGGTGTTCTATTCCATAAAGGCAGAAAGCACTTCAGCAATGACCCAGAATCTGTGGCTTGTGGGTTGGACACCTTAGGTTGTACCCCTAGCTTTTCGGCACCTTCTGAAATTCTCCTATGGAAGTCCCAACAGTAGGGTTCATATTGAGGGTCTGACCCCAAGGGTACAGCCCAGCAGAGCAAAAAAAGCCTGGCACTCTCGGGAGGCGCTCTCAAGAGGCAAACTCCGAGTCATTTCAGATCAACTTACTACATTGATGTGTCTTGCGGCGTCCCCTCACCCTAGACTGCAAAGCTTAATTATAAGAACCTGCCAACCCTAAACCCAAAAGTCCATCCTCCCGTGCATTGCTCACCCTCTCTTAGCCGCATTTTCCAGGTGCCAACCCTTGACAGCTTGCTCGAGGTAATGCGCTCAGACCCGTTCAGGTCCTTGGCAGAAATGGGGCGATGAGGCTTAGGGCGCTGAGGGCTTTTAGGGTTATGTCGTTTTGGCTCTTTCGAAATTATGGCGATTGAGGTACCCAATGGTCCTGCCTCGGATGCAGAAACAATGACAGCAGACCTCTTAACCTTGCAGAATATCCGTACAAGGATTGTACGTATACATATCAGCTATAATCTAAACTCCTAGTATCCCCCTTAGTAAGCCCTGCAATACTCCGCCATATACTGCCCTATTTAAGACCCCTTTAAGGAGTTTAGACCCTACACCCTAAACCCTATATCTCTATATAACCCCGTATATAAGCCCTTTTAAGGAGTGTAGACTATGGCTCATATATGAACCAAGATTTATGATGCAGAGCCTGGCCACAAGGACCTGGCTCACATGCCAAGGCTACCCCCAACTGGGGTTTGGGGCTTTGGACTTAGGGTGTAGGGTTTAGGGTCTATAAGGTTTAGGGGTTGGGGCGTGGGGTTTACGGTCTAGAATTTAAGGCTGGTCCAATCCTTGCAGTGGCAGCCTTAACACCATCCTGATGCGATCCTCTTAGTACATGTTGCAAAGGATTAAGAGAGGGATCCACACGGGGGAATGAGCGCTTTCTCTGGCAGTCACATGCATGTCATCCACCATCCCCAAAACAGTCCAGCCCTATCTATGAAAATGCCCGCTGAACCACGTCTCTACGCAAGGCCTTTTGCTGCACTGGCAGCGAAACAGTAATCATTCGCAAGCAAACAGCTCTTCTAAACCCTCAGGGCCGAGCTGCCTGAAATCCAGACAAGGGTCAACGGCTGGCCTCCAACGAACGAAGATAAGGGAGTGGGGAATTGTAAGGGATCCCTGGAGGCTTCAGGATCCAGGTCTTTGGATTCCGGTTGCAGGGAAGAAGGGTTTACCAATGAGGCGATGGACTCCTGGCGTTTGGGCTAAGGGGCCAGGACATCCAGGGTAGAAGGGGAACCTAGTAGCCTCCAGTCCCATGCTTTAGGGCAAGCACAAGGGAAGAAGCCCAGTTCCAGCCTGAATGCTGGCTTAATGTAACAGAGACTTACTTCTGCGGTCTAGAATGGTTTGGTTCTTCTGATACTACATAGGACCGATGGAGTTATAGGATTCCCGTTTCAAGTTCTCTTCAAGGGCGGTAGAGCAGATTGACGGAGTTCCTCCCTGTCAATAGCTGATGCTAACACTGAGCATCTGGGTCTTATAGTACCCGTATATATCCCTATATACTACAGTAGTTTCCATGTTTTTCCATTATCCCCCAAGATTATAGTAAGCCCATATATCCCTATATACTATAGTAGTTTCCATTTCGTTTTTTCCATTATCCCCCAAGATTCTCCCCAATATCATCCCCTTCTGGCTTCCTTTCACTAGTAGCGTCCTAATGCCGTGCACCGCTCCAAGAAGCCCGAGTCTGAGGAACTGCAACAATTCGGGGGTTTAGGGTTTAGGGTTTTCAGGATGGGGACCATGGGCTGTATAAGGTTCCTCCATCAACAGTTTGGGTAAACCCAATATACTTATACCCTCTACTTTCTACAATATAGCCCCTATAGAACCTCAAAATACTAGGTCTAACCCTAAACCCTAAACCCTAAACCCTAAAATGGACCATGAGTTCCTTTCATCCCCCTGTAGCGGCACAAACAGCCTTCGAACTCGTCGCAAGTGCAGAGGGCTTCAGGCTGATGATTAGATCCTGCTGATGCGGTTTAGGGTTTAGGGCTTAGGGTTTCTTAGTGGGGGGGTTAGTAGGGAATAAGGGATTGCAGCAGGGCTATACAGGTATAATGGAAAAGAAAATGGAAACTACTACATTGTAATAGGTTTTATACTGGGGAGGGCAATAGGGAATAGGGGAATGTATCGTGTAGGCTTATTCCCTGCTAACCACCAGTAAGGCTTGGGGGATTAAGGTTGGCAGCTGGTTCAGGTCAGGGCTTGGGTTTGGGGAATTGGGTTCAGGGCTATGGTTTCAGTTTCAGGGCTAGGGTTTGAGGCAAGGAGTTCAGGGTTTTAGGGGGTTACCCTAAACCCTAAACCCTGGGAAAATGGTTTCTAGGTTTGGGCTCAGGCTCAGGCTACAATTTCAGGATGCACTCAGGTCTAGGCTTTGTGGGTAGCCACTTTGACCCTCCGAAAAGATCAGCCATGCGGAACAAGAACAATCCCTGCCGCGTGAAGATCTTGCTTTACAGGTACACATGACGTCACCTAGCCAAAGCTGCAATCTACTCGAACGAAGCTCTTATGCGATAGAGCAACATGCAGCATACACAACTAGTCTCATCCATGTCCCAACATGGACCAGAGCCGTAGTCAGGCGGCTCTCATAACAATAGTCATAAAAGTAAGAGTATTAACAATAGCTTGGGTTTTTCCCCCTTACAGTAACAGTTACCACAAGGGGTAATAGGAATTATAATGGCCCCTTAATAAGGCCCCCTTTAAGGACAGTTACTGGGTGGGGGAATGACCCAAACAATAGCAGTATTCACATTCGCAATAGAAGTAATAATCGTTATCTTTGCAAAGTTGGGTCTTGCTTGTCGACTATGCTTCTGGAGCGGGCTTGCCAACGCGCGGGGCCTGACAGAAGGCTATGGAACCCTGAAATCCTCCAGTGATGCTGCTGGTATAATGAATAATGCAATTTGGGGGGAGGGGGGGAAATATACATATATAGCCTATATAATTACCAGTATCATTCTTGAGGTCCATTTGAGGTACCATCTACTATAATCAGACAAGGAATATGGAAGCATACTATTGGTAATTATTTAGGCCCCTGTATTAGGCATCCATCCTACGGATAGTTGGAGGGGTCATGATCAGGAACTCCCATCTGGCACATGCGCCTTTTGGCCAATCATCCGCCAGTGCTTGGGGAGCTGTTCAAAGAGATCCTTGGCGCTTGTACTACAGGGGCCTAAATAATGACAGGGGTTGAATAGGGACGATAGGGGTATAGTATTCGGGGTTATATAGGGATAATGGCAAAGAAAATGAAAACCACTATAATACAGGAAGCCCGAAATAATGACCAATGTCACATAGACCATAATTATATAAGGAATATGGAACCATAATATTGGTAATTATGCCGGCCCCTCTATTAAGTAAGTCCACAGGTTCCACCCATGACTGGCAGCCATGCGGAATGCTGCAGGGGCTCTTCTGTGCTGGATCTTAAACCACAGAAACTCTTTCTGCCATGAGGCAACAACTTGTCATATACATGACAATCTGCACAGGAAGCCATAGCGCTTTCTGCTGCATCCAACAGAAGTATCAAAATGGTGGGTTTCAGTGATCCACATGACATGCGAAGGTTCATTACGAGCATCAAGTCTTCTCCTGAGGTACAAGCCAATACACTAAAAACTGACAATGTCTCAAAGCAAGCAGAATCCTTCTCTTTACGAAGCCTATGGATAAGTACCACATATGCCGAGGATTCGGGAGCCCTATCTGAGGCGTCGACATTCCTGCTCTGAACCAGTGTCACAACATTCCTTTGCTGGGCTGCTAGGTTCATCAGCAGGAGTCCCCATATAAACCCACAATATACTATAATATACTATCCATTATGGGGGGGGTAATACAGACAGCTCTAGGGCTGCTCCAGATTTCATAACTTGTGGGCATACACTCACATTTTCATTCTGCCTAGGTAAACTTCCGCCTAGGCAAACTTCCACATGATGACAGCAGGTTGCAAGCTGCCCAATTGGTGTCCAACTCATGGCATGATACTTGTGAGTCATCTCAGCTATTCCAAAATCATGGCACCCATAAATACCCCAAAATCATGGCACCAATAAGTACCAACTGTAGGGAGCGCAGCTGCGTTTGGAAGCTAGGACGCAAATCTGGGCTAGGGCTGAGATCAGGAATTCATCAGATTGATTAGAAAGAGTTTAAGACCTCTTTGTCTCCGTCTAGCTATGCCAAGTGTAGACCTGGGGCATTTTGAAGCAGCTCCTTCATTGGATCTAAGGCATGCCCACAATCATCTTGAGACCTACGTCAACTTACTTGGGGTGAGAAGGGAAAGAGAATATAGGGATTACATTCCCATATCCCCTTATATAATCCACTATATACCCCCCAATATATAGTAGTTTCCATTTTATTTTCCATTATCCCTATATAACCCCAATATAAACCCAACTGCTAATCACCAGCAAGTCGAGGTAACTCACCTTTCAGGCTACCCCAGAAAAAGGTCGACTTCACGGTGAGGCATCAGGGGTACAAACCTCCCTTGCTTACTGGGGAGGTTAGTGGGGAATAAGGGAAGATAATCCCTATATAGCGCCTACGTAAAACATTTCCTTCTTCTCTACTAGCCCCCACAGAGCTTGACAGTACTAGGTGGTGTGACGAGCTACGCAGCAACACCAATACTGCCGAGGCATTGAGTAGAAAGTAAGCAGCAAGCCCAGACACGACACTTACTAGGGAATATGAATATATTATATAGGGGTTAGCTAGGGGTTATATAGGGATTGTATTCCCTTATTTCCTACTAACAAACTAACAACCAGTAAGAGAGGGTAAGCTGAGCAGTAGAATGCAGTTTTTCCTTTTCACAGTGCCAGTTGCCTGTACCGCCCTACGCCCAAAATCATGGCATTATGCTTTCTTGCTGAGAACTGCCTTTCTTTTGAACAAAGGAGTCTCCTCGACATTAGACTGGGTTGCTGTTCAGGACCTGAAAGTAAGTTACCATAACGGGTGTGTATATACATATATAGTAATTGATATGGTTTCCCCAAAATAATAACTTAAACTGAGCTCCTTAAATCGCACATTCCACCAGTTTCCGTTTCATGTTCCATGTTCTTTTTTCATTTGATTCTCCATTATAGTGGGGGGGAATATGGTAACTTGAATTACGTTCCTTAACAGCAACCAAGTAGACCGTCAAGCCATATCGGCCTTAGGATTCGGGCTTGGGGCCTTTCTCAACTGCAAACCACGTCCGTGGCAGCTGTTGACTCGCAAGATCCCAGTCCTTGCACTAAGACTCTTGTCCCTAATACAACCCCTACATAAACCGTATTATAGCAGTTTTTATTTTCTTTATCGCAATATAACACCAATATAACCTATAAGAACGCTCGAGTTCCCTGTGCCAGCACCCCGCAACAGATTGCAAAAAGCTTCACCTCGAACCCCAAGTTCGTAGCTTGAGGACTACCCCAGGAGTAATTCTTTTCATAGAAACCAAGCCTGATAATCACATCTAGCTCAGCTACTTCTCAGGCTGTGAAGGTGTTGTCCTTGAAGAAAAAGGTTCACTTGAAGACCACTCTGATACGACATACATCATCAACGAACCTCAACAGTGCAAAATGCAACATTTCACTCCATGTGTACTTCTGGGCACCTGTGAAATTCCAAAGACACCCCAGAATCAGCCGAGTTGCTTGCACACATTTTGGTGGGGGCCTTGCATGATGCCTAAAGCCAGCAGCGCCGCGCAGGCGTTGGCAAGCGGCGCCTTTCCACCCGCCGCCTGTAGAACCTGCCGCCGCATTGCAGCGGGTTCAGAGATAAACGAATCTCAAGACCCTTCAGGCCCTCCCGCCTGCCTGAGCCGTACACTCTAAACCTGCACCCAACCACATCATTGAGGAACAATCAGGCGTTTGCAGTGCGCCGTCTGCTCAAGAGTACTAAAAAAAGGCCATGGCGACGAGACGGTTCTGATTTCATTGTGCTGCCAAAAGATGCAGTAGTCTCGAAGGCTGACCACCACCTAGAGCGCTGGCTGGTGCCCTTTCTTTGGTGTCAAGTTCTTTGCGTACGTTAAAACGTTAACGCGTAGGTATAGACTGTCTACCAGCAATGCCAACGCTCAGCCTTGCCGATACCGCAGCTCTAGCACCGTGATCTTACTCGCCGGCAAAGAAACCTAAAATTCAGTTGCTGCAGACCAACGCAGAACTTTGAGCACATGCTACCCTCCCCAAATCAACAAAGAACCCCACGTTAGCCCATTGTGCATGATAAGAATATCTTTCTAGGGCCTCCTTCAGATTCTATCCATGTTGGATCCGGGGAGGAGATCCAGGGCTCTCTGAGCCCCATCCTAGACCTCCTTGAAACCGCCCACATCATCAACCCTTACAGGGGGTTAGGGGGGAATTAGGGAATATTTGGGGGGATGATGTAAGAATAATGGAAAGTTGGGAACTAGTACATTATAACAGGGTGTATCTTAAGGTTATAGTAGGGGGCAAAGGAGTACAGAACAGTATATAGGGATTGTATAGGCTGTATAGGTATTCTATTCCTTTATACTCTTCTTCCCTACTTACCAGCAGCAAGCTTGGGTCACGGGCATATGCCCATACGTCACACAGTAGCCCTGCAGGACAGCGCCTAACTATTCGATTTGCAAATCTTACAATAACAAGCATCTGCCAAAAAGAAGGTTCGTACATCTTTAAACCAATACATATCTACACACCCGGCTCATCTGAAGATCCTCATATGGGTAACCCCGAAACATTTTGGCGCAATCCTGACCCTTACACCGCCCAAGATCAGAACCATATATAGAGCCGAAGTAACACCTACATAATCCCCATATAACTGCTCACATGATTCTGGGGGGTCTAATTTGTTAGAGACCTTGCGGGTCTGGACTGCCCTGCCTTCATTACAGCCCAAGCCTGGGCTCTTTCTTCCTCCTGGCAGTTGTTTCGAGTTTCAGGTTTAGGGTTTAGCGTCCAGGGTGCCGGATCCAGAAAGAGAGAGGGAGAGATTCAGGCGCTACCATCTGCTCAGGCTTTAGGGCTTTTATGAGGCTGCTTTAGCAACCTCAAAACCCAAAACCATGAAGCCATCTTTAGCTGGCCTTGGGGATCATCAGGTTTCTTCCTCTTGTTAAGCCATACCTAAACCCCAAAAGTATGTAAAATGATAGCCCTAAACCCCTAATAATAGTCATAAAGGCCATTATTTTACATACTTTTGGGGTCCAGGTATTGACAATGTTTGCCTTGAAAATTGCACATGCGGATTGGCGGATACGGAAGTACGTAGGAGGCTACTTGAACTTGATTGGGCTTGTGGGTCCAGGTTTGCCTGACCTCAAGTTCTCTTTTACGTGATAAAGTGAGTATGGGCCAGTATGGAGAAAAGTGGTGCACTGAAAGAACCAACTCTGCCTGAAGGGGTATTCCTATTACCGGCCTGAACCATGTATGCATTGACATTGAACCCTCCAAACCCTTCACCATGAACTCAATATATGGACACTAGCCCAATCACCTTTCTCCGGGGAAAAACTACCATGGATAGTGGATGGATAGACGAATGATGCACAAGTCGGGATCCGTAGAGTTCAAAGTGGTGCACTACTGATGACGGAGGCAATCTTGCACCACCGGCTTCCTAGCGCAAGTCCTAGGACTTAGGGTACTCAAGACTTACTGGTTCTTAGAAGGGAATAAGGGAATATAATCTCTATGTAACCCCTATATAACCCCATATTCCCTACTGACAACCAGTAAGAAAATTGTGCAGGACATGCTCTGCCAAGCAGTCGAACCTTTACAATTCGCATGCGATCTAGCTGAGGGAAGAATTGACTAAATGCCCTAGACCTTGAACCCTCCCTAAACCTTAAACCCCGTAAACCCAATAGAGCTAATAAACTCTAAACAATACAATAGTTAAATAGTTTCTCTTTTCGCTTCCATTTTAAGCCCACTGCCTAAGCCATTATTATCAACCCTACACCCTAAACCCTCAACCCTAAACACTCAACCCTAAACTCTAAACCCTAAATCCTAAACCCTAAATCCTTAACTCCTAAGCCCGTATTATCCCTCAACCCTAAGCCCTAAACCTTCAGTTCCCAGTACGATGCATGTCCTCAGAGGGCTTGGTTTTAGCAACAGGCGCAGACGAGGAGGCCGGAGCCATGCCAGCTTTGGGCAGGATGCCACCTGCGACTAGGGGTGGGGGTTAGTGTTTAGGGGTTTAGG